TCTCTCTCTCTCTCTCACACACACACACACACACACACACACACACACACACACACACACACACACACACACACACACACACACACACACACACACACACACAATTAATTCTCTCTGCTGCTACATGATTTCTTTTCTTATTCTTCCATAGTCTTTGTTAATCCCTCTCTTCTTCTTTTGTGATATAAATTATCACCACAAGTCATTTCGTTTTTTGTATTTCCTCCTCCCCTTCTTTCCTCTACTTATCCATGCTTCCTAAATTCCTATTTCCTCCCTTTTTCGGTCAAGTCTCCTATTAATTATTCATTTTTTGTTTAATCCTATCCAGCCTTCCCTTCTTTCCTCTCTTCATTCCTTCCTTCCTTCTATCCAACCTTTCCTAATTGACCTGCTGATCAGTGTGTCCATCTCGCCACCAGAGCTCGCATGTGAGCCACTACTGCCCACACACACACACACACACACACACACACACACACACACACACACACACACACACACACACACACACACACACACACACACACACACACACACACACACACACACACACACACACACACACACACACACACACACACACACACACACACACACACACGGAAGACAAATAAAAACTTCCCGTTTGCAACTCAAGCAGCCCGTGAGAAAGTTTATGAAACAGCAGAAGGAGAGATCTGACTGATACCCTCACACAAACACACACCCACACACACACACACACACACACGCACACGCACGCACGCACGCACACACGCACACTATCAATGGGGGTGTAATAAAGTCCTCCTCTCTTTCCCCGCCAATCACTCCTCCAGTCCCACACTTGCTCTTCTCTGATTGGCCCATCAACTGTCAATCATGCCTGTAGGGGGCGGGGCTTGAGACCCGGAGTCTGAACCAGTCTCTTTTACGCACAGACCGGACAGTCCGCTTTCCACGCGCGGATAACAGTGTGGAGAGGAAAAAGTGACAGGAAACAATCAGAAGAGTGTGTTCTGTCCTAACTTAAGAAGCAGAAAAAGTGTGTTTGAAAGGGAGAGAGAGAAAAGGAGAGAGTTTGTGTCTCCACTTCTTCTTCTTCTTCCACTTCCACCACCTCCATGTCGCTTCCCGGCTCTCCTCCTCTCCTCACGCCGGGCTCAGGCGTCCCAACTTCGGCTTCTCTCTACCGCTCTGCCCCGGACCCTCTCCAGAGCTCCTCCAGTCCAGGACACAACAACAACAACAACAACTCCCACTCCTCCCACTCCCTGTCCCCGCGGCTCACCAGCAGCATGCTCAGCGCCTTTCTGCCCGGACCAGGGGGCTCACTGGCCGGGTTGGGATCTCTTCACAACGCCGGTCTGAACCCCGGTTCTCCCGGTTTGTTGCAGCATCAGAACCAGAATTCCTCCACCCTGTGTAGCGAGTGCAAACTGGTGGAAGTGCATGGAGTGAAGGTGGCCAGTTTCGGGACGGACGGCCAGGAGCTCATCTGTCTCCCGCAGGTGTTTGATCTGTTCCTGAAGCACCTGGTGGGGGGTTTGCACACGGTGTACACCAAGCTGAAGAGACTGGACATCGCGCCGGTGGTTTGCACCGTGGAGCAGGTGCGTGTTCTGCGGGGACTCGGTGCCATCCAGCCCGGCGTGAACCGATGCAAGCTGATCTCCAAGAAGGACTTCGAGATCCTGTACCAGGACTGCACCAGCGCCAGGTCTGTGGACTCTTTCATCTGATTTATATTCGTGCAAGCGTCTGGGAAACTCTTTAAATCTCTTTTTTCTTTCATTTAAAAAGTCTCTGAACACGATACATTTTCTTTAAATGTCAGGCACAAGTCCGGGAACTCTTTAAATCTCCATTTTCTTTCATGCACACGTCTCTGAACATGATAGCCTACATCTTCTTTAATTTTCATGCACAAGTCCGGGAACTCTGCATGCCGTAAAGAGAGTACGATCCGCTGCAGTTTTCTCAACAACTTCCCAGTGCGGCCAAACTTTACTCACTTTCCGGGATATTTCTCCCATATTCAAAGCTTTTGCATGTTTTTCTAAATATTATTGCCACATATTCGTACTGCATCTATAGTCTCAGATTTAATGTTCCTTAAAAATCCTGTTCCCATAATATTTCAGCAATCAAGAGACTCAGACTTTCGACACCCAAAAACAACTCAAACATGTTTTTTTTACTGCTTATTTTGTGTCTTTATTAAGTCACAGTTCCTTTACAATTACTCAAACACTTAAATGAATGCTGGGAAGTTACATAATATACATCCTAATTGGTCTTGTATTGACTTTTCTGTCTCATAACGATTCCCAGTTTGCCCAACTATAAAATGACATATTCTTCAATTATTTCCCCTTATGCATTGTGTTAGTGCTCTCTGCATGCATCCCTGTGATGTTCCCGTATCAGTGTTTTAGAGAATGGCAGTTTTCCTCAGCTATTTATACACATCCTTTGAAAATGAATTATGGACTGGCTGACCTGTTTGCTTAATGCTATTCCAGATCGACTTCCTGCTCTGTTATCACTACCCTTCCTTATTTTGCTTAGGTGTTGAAAATGATGCTTTTACTGTATCGACTTTGCAGCTTGATGGAAGTGTGTGTGTGTGTGTGTGTGTGTGTGTGTGTGTGTGTGTGTGTGTGTGTGTGTGTGTGTGTGTGTGTGTGTGTGTGTGTGCGCAGATGCATGTTTCAGTAGTCAAATTAGAAACACTGACAGCAA